GCCGGGGCGCGGGCGCCGCGGGGTGGGGGCAGCACCGGGGGAGGGGGTCCCGGGTTTCTGGACGGGAGAAGGAGTTGGACCTGGGAACCCGGGAGGGAGACCCGGGCCGCACAGGGGGCCCCTCGGCGCCCCGCGGGAGGGGCGCGGAGTGGGTGGGTCCTACTCCTGCACCTTGTCCTCAGTTTGCCTTTCACGACTCTCCTTCCAGCCTCCTCTTCCCCCTCGCTCGCGCTTCGAGTCCACCTCAACACGGAGGATTCTCCGCTCCCGGCCCGGGGAAGGGGCGGCTGCTGAGGGCTTCTCCTGGGCCGGGGGCGCTGAGCTGGCCCGCCCTAAGCGCGCCGGCGCTGCCGGGGGAGGTGAGAGGTGGGCTGCCCCAGCCTTTGAAGGGGGTGCAGGCCGCCCCCGGAACACGGCCACACAGCCACACAGCCCTGGTGCCGGGGACAAGGAGGTTGCAGCCCCTCAGACACACAGTCACCCACGCTCACACAAAGACACAATAGCCTGTCACGCGGACGCACTCACACCCTGTCGCGCGTGCGGGCGGGCGGTGGTCCTGTCGCCCCCACACCAAGACAGGCGAAAATTCAGGGCGTCCTCACGGTGCCCCAGACCACACTTGCTCACATGACACTCCAGACACACCCACAAAACCACTTGGGAGTCCTCCCGAGTGGTCCTGCTTGTGAAGGTTGTGTGAAGGATAGGTAAGAAAAAGCAAGTGGCATCTGGGCAGTCTTTAGAGTTGGGGGGAATGAGCATATCCCCCTCCCCAGCGCCTTAACACCCACTTGGGGGTGTGGGAGAAGGAACTGGCTGGGCTTTCTCCAGTCTCTTCCAGATTTTTTTTGGGGGGGGGGGGTGTCTTTATTTCTTCTGCACACCCGTTATCATTAGGGGCTCCCCCAGTAGGGATTAGGAGTGGGTTCAGACAGGGGCTTCTGCCAGGCCCGGCTGGGTCTGTCCTCAAAGGGAGGCATGTGCCCCTCCCACCGCCCTCCAAAAGGGACAGATTATTATAATCACAGGCCCCCCCACCGTTGTGGGGGAGGGATCCCGGGAGGCCAGGTCTCCTAGCTCAAGCCAAGACACATCCTGAAATTTCATTGTGAACTCTCATTTAAATGTGACTACCCCAAACAAAGCAAAGCACAAACCTCCCTGCCTTGGTGCATACAGCATTGTAGTGGTTCAACAATTGTTGGATTGGAAACCTATTGATTGGATTTGTTTACAGACAACTAAACTGACCAGAGAAACTGGGGCTGGAGGGCTGGAGGGGTGTGTGCGCAATAAGACCAAGTCTATCCAGAGACCTTCCTCCGTTGTGAATCATGGATAATGCCTCAGGGCCTTTGCACAGACACTGCCCTCTGCCCGCCAGGACTTTCTCCAGAAAGCCGCATTAACCTACTTCATTTTCTTTCAGTCTCAGCTCAAGACTTCTCAAGGAGCTTTCCCATTTAAAATAGAAATCCTCACCCCTCCCCTCCCAAAAGCTCCTGCTTACTTCCCTTGCTCCTTCCCTGCTTATTTTTTTCTCATGGCACTGAGCACCACAGGCTTACCCTGTATAGTTAGTTTCTTGATCGTGTCCCTCTGAGAGGGACTTTCTAGTTCAGGTTGCCTTACAGCGTCCGCACACCTGCGTGGTGCAGACTCTCAATAAACGTGCAAGAACGAAGGCCCAGCACCCACTGACCACAGGTCCTGGGAGAAGTGTTTACCTTGACTTGTGTTTGTAGGCTAGAACACAGAAGCCCTTCGGTTTGTGGGGGATTCGAAATGGGGGTGTGATCTGAGGTTAGCCTGTAATTTGGCATTCTAAGAATCATCTGTGTGGTTTGGATGCTAGGCTTCTAGTTAGAGATTCTTTATAAAGCTAGAAACTTGGTGGGCCACAGGACCTGGGCTAACTGGGGAATCTGGCTGGAACTTCTTGTTCCTGAGCCTCCATTTTCCCATCTGTAAAGTGGGCACGTAGGATCCCAGGTACGGCTTATTCCAGGGATGCTGCCCTGGGGGGACGGCATGGAGCCATGGAGAAGGCACACTGGGCATGTGCCGTCCTGGAGGCTAAGGAGCTGGAGTTTGCTGTCTCCTTCAGGGACCTGGGAGGCTTGTCCAGGTCCAAGTTTCCTGGAAAATGTGTGCTTTGGATGAGAGGAACGTGATGGCTGTAGGCCAGGTGTTAAGTATTTTTGGTCCTGGGCAGGAGGTGGGGGGAATCAGCAATGGTCTGTTTAATTCTGCTCCAGGCCTGGCCCCATTGAGTGTCTCTGTAAGACACTGGCCGGTTGGAGCCAGTAACTGACTGGAGCCAGTAACTAGTCATTCTTACAACAGATTTTTACAGGGCATTTAATAAGTGTGGATCCGAACCAGCCACTTAATTGTAGAACCTGATGCAGAAATGAAAACACAGAGCCTCTTGGTGAGCAGGGAAGACTTTCAGAACAGGCAGGGCACGAAGCCAACCGTGAACTCCTTGAAGGAGGGTGCGCTGTGACTACAGAGCTCACACACCCACCAAGAACATTTCTTAGGACACAGAACTGGGCTATGGGAACCAACATCTATTGCAGGTTTATCTTGAGACCACTATGTCTCGATTCATTTTATCCTCTAGATGACACTGGAAGGAAAGCACAATTATTGGTTCCATTTCACAGGTGAGAAAACCAAGACACAGAGAAGTTCAGTAATTGGCAAGACCACCTGGCAGGTCCAAGGCAGTGTGATTCCAGAATCTGGAAGCAGTGACAGTGTGTGTTCCGTTGAGTCCTGCTGTGGTCTGGAAATCAGAAGGCGGCTCCGGGAGGCATGTCAGGAACTGAGACAAGATGCGAAGGACTGGGGTGAGGAGAACATCTCAGGGAGAACAAGAGCAAGTGCAAAGGTCCTGGGGTAGAAGTGAGACTCAGGACTCAGGAACCAGGATGCCAGGAAGAGTGGGGTTCAGGGGAGGGGCCTGGAGCTGGGTGCAGTTGGAGATTGGCAGGGGCTGTAGGCTGTGGTGAGGAGTTTGGGCTTTAATCTTGGTTTTAAGCAGAAGCGTGCCAATATTTGATTTGCATTTTAAAACCTTTGTCAAGGAGATGGAAGATGGATGGGAGGGAGGCAAGAATGGAGGTGGGAAGAGAAGGTTTGAGGCTCCTGGGTGTATTGATGATGGGCTGGAGCTCAGAATGTCTGAGAGTGAGTGAGTGAGTGAGGAGAGTGAGTAGGGACAGGAAAGGGGAGACAGAAGAGGAGAGGAAGGGAAAGGCAGGGAGGGGAGAAGAGTGAGAAAGGAGGCGGGAGGAAGAGAAGAGAAGAGGTGAAGAGTGGAGAAAGAAAGGGGAGGGGCAAGAAAGGAGAGCTTCGGAGGGACACACAGGATCCGTGGGGGGCAGAAAGACAAGGGACCAACAGATAGACAGACAGACTGGTAGGAAGAGAAGGTACACGCAGCAATCACACAGGTTGTTCTAGATGGGAGGGCTGGTGAATGGAGTTTGGAGCACCCGAGGGCCCTGCCGCTGACCCATCCTGCCTGTCCCCTCATCTCAAGTAAGCCTTTCCCGCACAGCACGCCCTGACACGGCATGACCACCCCGACAACATCGTCACTCAGCACATTGTGCTGCCACTCAGGGGCTGCCTGTTGCCGGCCCTTCTGGGAGGCTGAGAACCTTGTGGGGCTGGTAAATTTCTTTCTTCTCAGATCCTCAATCCAAGACCAAATGCAGAGTATTAAACCCCCACCTAGATGTGAACCCCAGCTTGGCTTTTAGTCACTGTGTATGCATGGACATTCTTTCATAGAAATTGATAGGAAAAAACCTCAAACTAGCTGACCTTTAAAAAAAAATTATTTATGCACACAAGAACTGGGGTGCAGGCCAGAGGTGGGGGTGTAGGAGAGAAGATCCCAGAGACAGAGTGGAGAGCAGAACAGGCAGGTTTACTGAAACACACAGCAGCGGGTGGGTCAGGAGCGGTCTGCTGCACCATGTGGGTCACTCCCTGGCCGGGGATTGAACTTATGCTGCAATGGCTGCAGACAGCTTCACAGTGCTGTGCTTTAACCCCTTGTACCACCAGGGAGGGCCCTAAACTAGCTTAATTTTTGAAAAGGAATGTGCCTGTTGCAGTTGAAAATTATAGCAGCTTTCTGGCCTTCGTGTGTAGCTGGGTCCTGGAGCCAAAAAGTACCCATCCCTTTCCATCCATGGGCTCTGTTTTACTCCACTAGTTGCTTTAAAAAATCAGGATCTTACGGGCCCTCCCTGGTGGCACAGCAGGTTAAAGCACAGCACTGAGAAGCTAAAGCCGCTTCCGCGTGAGTTCGATTCCTGCCTGCCCCGGAGGTGACCACATGGCGTGGCAGACCTCTCCTGCCCGGCCGGTTGCTCCCCTCAGCAGTGTACTTCGTCGATCTGCCTGTTCTGCTCCCTGCTCTGTCTCTGGTGAAGCCTCTCGCCGCCCCTGAGCCTCTGGCCTGTTCCCCAGTTCTGTGTGAACAAATAAATAAATCTTTAAAAAAAAAAATCAGGATCGTACAAACATCATAAAAACTGGACAAGAGCATCCCTGGATCTGTCCTATCCACTTGGGAACCTGAGCTGAAAGAAAACATCAGTGAAAATCCCAGGCAGGCTTTTGATGG